GGCCTACAAAGTCCTACTACATTACCTAAATAAAGGACAAGACACGGTCAAACCGAATCATGATTTGCAGACGAAGACGGCACCGGAATAGGGACAGGATTACCAGCATCCTCTACCGTGGGGACGAAACAGAACATCAACTGCCGTCATGCCAAGCCTAAATTTACACGCATGGCCAAACAGCGTCCGGAGAAAAATCGATCAACCCAAGGCCAACACGTACAGCTGCAACTTTAAACGTTGCAGTAGGCAGGGTCGGTAAATAGGCCCAATTGTGGTTAAACTCACGGCTCCCGGTGGGGCCCGATAGCTCGGTTGACTAGAGCGTCAGTCATAAAGCGTATTATTCACAGTGAGAAATTTATTCTTATTGGAAGTGAGGAGTTGATTAATCCAAAAAATTCATTTGAGAATAAGAAGGTTCGTCGATTACTAGAATCAGGATTTTATTGGTCTGAGCTTTCGGGCTCCTGCAGGAGTCCATCGTCAGATATGAGAAAATAGCAACAAATGGGGTGGCTACTTGTGGCGTGTACACCCCATTTGTTGCTGTTTTCCCGTCTCCGACAATGGACTCCTGCAGGAGCCCGAAAGCTCAGACCAATATAATCCTGATTGCAGTGTTTGACGAATCTTCTTATTCTCAAAATATACACATTCCTGGAATGCGAATATTTGCCTCAATTCGTGATAATTCATTTGTCCCATTTGTAATAAAAACCCGGCGACGTCGGTGGCATTCGAACCCACGCCAGCAGGGAGGGAGGATTTAACATAACCAAAGTTCTAGCCAACTGAGCTGCAAAGCTCAATTTTGATTAAATTCACGGATTCCAGCGGGAGCCTTGCAGTTCAGTTTGCTACAGCGTTGGTTGCAGTAAAGTCTTTATCTTGGTGGTTTTGGTTCGAATCCCACCAAGACCGCCGTTTTTTCACATTGATGCGTTCACGGTGTTTAAATGGATTGCGCATACAAGATACCGAGGGATGAGATTGAGGTCTTGGAAAAATCCCTTAGTCTCCCAACTACGCTGTCTTCAAAAATGTTGGGTCAGTGGAGAGTTTATGATCTCCTCCTCCACCGATACAAGGCCCAGATTCAATGTGCCCTTCGCACAGTAGCCTTTGCGGCCTTTACTTATATGCGCCTGTTTGCAGTGATTGGTTCGTGCAAAGCCGGAACCGGCAAGCTAGTTTTCTGCGTTCGTTGCGTTCTGCTTGATCTCATCGTACATGCCTAATCTTCCCAGGAATCCCCATGTAGCAGAGGCTGTCTTATTTGTATAGACACGTTGCCTAATGTTAAGGCTCATTTTAGTGCAGTTTCCATGTGCTTTACTTTTATAGTTTCGGAGTTTAGAAAAAATGACCTCAATGTTAGCCCCTAGGCAAACTCCGGTTGAAGTTGCGGTAAAATGTACCAAACAATTTGTTAAACTGGATGGTCTTTGAGCCTTCTTGTCACGGCAAAAAACATGTAAAGATACCGGCTCTCTATTCTGGCAAGGATAGTAAGGAACGGTTTGGATCCGTAAATATACCAATCGAGACTGAAGGTTTTGGCAATCCATCATCGGCCGGTACCATTGCATGGATACTGAAATAGCAGAGCTGGATTATGATTAAACCTCATTTGATAGCCATCTGGCGCCGACGTCAGCCACAGAAGTGCTAGTGCTTGCAAAAGTTTCTCCTGCCAACTCACCATTGGATTCGCTAGTCATATAGCCACCGCATCGGCTGTTGCTAGCATTCGTCGGCATAAGGCCCTTAGAGAAGTTGACTGGTGTCCAGCAGACAACCTGAAAGGCTTCGTTAGGATCGACTCGGTTATTTATATCGCCACGAATAAAATTACTGATTGATCTAGTTTAAAATTTACTCATCTAGACCGGTATATATTAAAGTAGTCTTACCTGCGTGCACAAAAATATACTCCCTGAAAACCCTAACCACGTTTAAATATTCCTTCCTTTGAAGATTTCCACCCGAGGCAAAAAAGAACCTCCTTTTAACCGAGGGTCATGTGGCAGCGTCTAGTTTTCACGGTTACGCTGATGATCCTCTTTCGCGTGTGAGTTAAGATATCCTCTTGGACATGTGATTAAGGCTTAACCTGTGGATTTCGCCAAAGTCGATTAACCCCTCCGGAACAATCAATTTGATGTCAATGGAGGTTTTCCTGATAGAAACGAATATGCGAGTTCCAGGAAGCAGTTCAAAAGGAGAAAATGCGATCACTGGAACAAGAATTTTATTATTCTGTAGTTTCGGATTCTGTCAGGAATCCTTAATCATAGGTAACCGTAGGATACTATGAGACATGCGCAGATTGAGGTGATACATGCACTGATTACACGGTATTTACAGTTCATAGCGATCATAGGAGGAAGGACCCATTGTCACGGCAGGAAACTGCTGGGTAGTTTACTGGATCTGGTGTAGTTGTGGACAAGGCAAATACGTCGGAGAAACCGGGAGATTATTCCGAACGCCAATAACCGAGCACGCAGCGGTGGTGGAGAAGAAAGATGCTTGCTCACAGGTTGCAGCTCATTCGACGGGACCCGGCCATATTTTCAAGTTAAACGAGGCGTAAATCCTCTCAAGATGTGACAGCCGCGTGAGCCACGAGCTGCTTGAGTCATGGTTCTCAGGCCCCCAGTCCATCAAC